AAATCGGAAATCATTAACCGTCCAATAAAGACACTTCCGGTTTATCTTTTTGGATTTCGGATTCCGGATTCCGGATCCGCCTGGGTCGGAGGTTCCGGATTACGGCAATCCATGAGAAGGCTATTGTCCAGGATGACACTAAACAATTGTCGCAAAATATTGATTATGAGCAAAATGCTGTTAACAGAACCAAATTGAAATCTATACTTACCGAATATCCGTTGTTGTTTCCAAAGTAGAAACATCTCAAGGTATAATTTACTCGCCATAATCTAACTATGACAGCTAAAAACGGCAGCAGTATTTGAGTTGTTTTCTTCCGGCAGCCATCTTTAAAAGAGAAAAATAAACGCTGAGGCGATACTGGTCATATTCAAAACATAAACAAAAGCAGCCTATTGTTTTCGGAAGGGAAGCGGGTGGGCACAATGAAACGTATAATTTTAACAAAGATAATAGAGCATATCCGGGGACAATTCAACATATAAACACGACCAGTCCCCTGGAAAAATATGTAGTTTAAGTAGTAATAGACATATTACAAGTTTGGTCTATAATAGTTTGCTAATAATTGCTAATGTTGTTTGTTTTGAATCTTTACAGTGACCACTTTCATTGTGGCGTTTCATTTCTGCCGACTGCGACAAATCCATTTGAAATGCTTTGAATAGCCAATAGTCCAAAGCAGCTTGTGAGGAAAAGCATGAAATTCGGTCAGACCTGCCTTTGGCAATATAAATCAGCTTTGGCACTATTTTAAAAGTTCAAAGATTTTGTAGACGATAATGACACATGTTATCGTCACTGTTTCATTACAGAATGATTGGCAAATCTTTTTTTATTTAATTAGAACTTTGGCAGTCTTTGACATAAATTGGAACTGTGGTGTTGAGTCGCTTAAAGGGGAAGTATGCATCGACTTCATATGAATTGTGTTATATTTCCTTCCCATATTTGTTCAAGGATTGTCAGGGAGTTTTGTATTTCAATTGCATACTCGCTCTCCCAGAATACTTGACGCCAATCTGCGATTGGATTTGTCACATGGAGTCACTTTCAAGGAGTTCACATATTTTATATTAGTCATCGGGATATTTACAACATGTATTGACTTAATATGTTTTATAGTTAACTGCGAAAGACATTTGCTCGTATTCAGTATGACATTGCTCACGCTTACCGAACACCCTTGGCACTCTGCTATTGGGGTTGTCAACTCGGCATTCCTTTTAGAGAGTCCACATAGACGATATTGTTTATCGGAATATTTACTATTGACCGAATATTTTATAGCATCTCCTAAAGACATATTCAATTTGTTTTGAGTAGGATATTTAGCTTAAGTGGAATTGCAGGAACCACAGACGTCTGATTGAAAATTGGACTTATGCAAATTGATGTTATCAGTGTCCCCGATCACATGAAAAATTTAGAAAACCTATTTACAATCCCTTTAATGGTTTCTTAAGTATTGACCAGACATTAAAGACATTTTCCGTTTTCTCACGAGTAAGATTTAAATTCGGTCAATAATTGCTTTATTTCTGTTAACAAAATCCAATAAAAGAAAAACAAAGACGTTTTGTTCGCGAACATTATTTATTAAAGAGACTTTAATATTAAGAGGTTTAGTATGGCGGAGTCTCTGAAAGGGCTGAATTCCCATAAGATGTTGTTTTCTTTTAACAGTTAATGAATAACGATAGGTCGTTTTTTAAATGTCCCATGTCGATTTTCCAATATCCGGCGCGCATTGACCCGTGACAAAACATCATGTACGTACATATCCAAACCAACTTCCGGGTAATGACCTATAGTTGAACGATGCCATAGAAATATACCTATCCAAACTCAAAAGCAGAATAGCAATGTAACGCCATCTTGAATGTAAACCAGATTTGTTGCTTGGTGGTACATGTCAGAAGACACATGTATGAAAGTATTGCTAACTATATTAAGAATTATATGTTCCAGACAAGGCGAAACTAATGAAATGTCAGGGCTTCATTTAGATTTGTCAATTAAGGCTCCCAATAACACTGCACGAGTTTGAAGCGACAATTGCATGTCATGTACTCTTAGCGTGGGTTAAATAATGAGCAAAAAGGGAGTTTTACGTCATTATTCTTGTTTCTTGTTCGGTTTGATCTGAATAGTTCTATTTGAAAAATTTTGTGTTCATCACAAAGATTAACGTTATAGAAGTTGCGAATCGTGACCGCACCAATACCGTGTACATTATGTTTCTACTTTATCGATAACGACGTACACTACATTGGACATCGCATCTAGGGAATAGACGGACTTCGGATCTGTCATTAGAAAAGCAAATAGAAGAAGCCAATCTTTTTCGCATCGTGTCCAGATCTGTACCCCATGAATTCCCTACTTCAACTATCTAATCGTACACCGTATCGAACACCGTATCGAACACCGTATCTTGTCTATCAGCACCTTGGAAGTAGTGCGGCGTATGGTGCGGGATTGGAAAATGGGACACAACACCGGATTCGGTCTATCCACGCCTAAATAGGGGGGGAGGAGGTACATTAAGTACGGAGTCTGGTGTGAATATGGTACGGAATTGTCCGCGTCCGCATTCTGTCTGCATCGTGTCCGAACTTCTACCTCGAGTATTCTATTCTATAGTCAATAAATATATTTTTCTCTTTAAAATAGCAAATCGTAATCGTCCAGTTTATCTTCAAAATATTCTTCAATATAAACACACACCATATGCATCCATTGACCAGAGATACCTTATTACAAAACCTATTAATTTTATATATAAGAATAGCTTGAAATATAAAGACCCTTGTATATGGAACTCTTTACCTCGATCTTTAAAAAAAAATCAATGTTTGTCAAAACTTAAAAAACAACCCTTTTCTTTCTTGAAAAAATAGAACAACATAATCAGATTAATGATAAATGTCTATAACTGTTTATAGATTTAAGTTTTTGTGATGGCAGTTTTGTTGTTTTTAGTTTCTTTTGTATTTTATGTTGTGTTCCTTTGAAGGACTAAATGTTTACCCTAATAAAGATTTTGTTATTATTATTAGTATTATTATTCACTGTGTTGATAACCCTATATTTGATGGCGCTGTGTCATGCACTGTATCTTAGCACATCAGCCTTCAAGCATGGTCTTGATTTGTGTTTCAACTGAACGATTATTTTAGAATTCTGTCTGCTAAGAACCAAAGCCGATCTCCCTAAGGTGTCAGATGAACAATAGGCCATTATTATCACAACTTAAAACATTAATAAGCTAAAACTCTCTTTACGAATGCACTAAAAATTTGAAATAGTAGTTTTCATTAATTTAGTCACTGTTTATTTATCCCTTGGGGTTGGAAACACAGTTGTACGACCATGTTTATTGTTCGTCCAAACTTTTCAACACACTGTTATTTGGTCTCTAATAGCTGTGGAATTTAATGAAATAAAAAGGAGTTTTACGCCCTACTTTTCTGCAGACAGAAAACTGCATGTAGTGTTCAACGAGGAAAAAGTTTGTCAAGACAGCATCATTACCATAAAACAAGAAGCCGATCTCAATTTGCTACACGTTGGGCACGATGAAGAACCCTTGATATCAGGTAACCGAAAAAAGAGAAGGCTAATGTCGCTGCCTGTAAAATTTCCATCATTGCACACTGAATGGCGTTGTCCGTCTTTATTTGCATATCAGCTACAGACTACTAGAAAGTTCTATCTATTCCATTCATTTGTAGACAACGGTACTAGTTCGACTGTTCGTGAGGAACCAACTCAAGTGACAAGTAGTCACGGCGTGCCATAAGGTGTTCCGGAAGAGAAAACGTGATATAAAATGGACAGGTACTCCCTCGAGATAGGATCAAAATCGATTGACACCGTCAAAACAATATTATGGTGATTATAATTTAGATAATAATATCAAATTATTTAAGCACTAAATATACCAAATAAACAATATTAGCTATCTGGTTTGTACTGTCCGTGAAGGATGCCGAGCTGACACTTCCGGTCTAAAAGAGTGAACGATTGCCATTTTTTATAGCGGCGGCCATGGACCTATTAGTCAACCATAAGTGACGTTACTTCATGGTTGGGTAGGGGGAGGAAAGGTCGAGTAGGGGTATCATAATTGTCAAGTAGTGAGGAAACAGCACCGGGAATTTAAGATGATTATACATGTAAATATAAAAATGTGCGAAGGTTCAAAACTGATTCAGCCTCCGAGGAGCGACATGACAGCATCTGCTCCCACCGGATTTTTCAACCCAGTTCCCCCCTGTCAGTAAGACATGGAAAAGCGTCTTGTCGTTCGGATGGGACAATAAACCGAGGCCCCATGTGCTACAGACTGTGCACGTTAATGATCCTTCGGCAGTTGGAAATCAAAAAATAGCAATCTAATGCCGCTATCCCGGAGAACTTACCCATTTGATACCCTACACGGCGTTGCCCGTCTTCAATATCCAACATGGTATAGAAAAGTAGGACGTAAAACTCATCACTCATGTCATTTCATTTCTCATCAGCAATCAGTATTAATCTATATGGATGTCAGATTGTTTTCTGTGGTATTATAAATATTTTAAACAGTGATTATTGATGGTCGTCATGGGGTTCCAATGTTTTATATTGTTAGTTAAATTGATAGCTTTAAGTAATTTGTTATTTTTACACATAGATAGGACGAATTGATAACCACTTTATTTCAAATAGTTCTATTTACTCTATATTATTCTATTTACTCTAAATTGTTCTATTTACTCTACATTGTTCTATTTACTCTAAATTGTTCTATTTACTTTAAATTGTTTTATTTACTTTAAATTGTTCTTTTTTCTCTACATTGTTATATTTACTCTAAATTGTTCTATTTACTTAAAATTGTTCTTTTTACTCTACTTGTTCTATTTATTCTAAATTGTTCTATTTACTTAAAATTGTTTTTTTACTCTACATTGTTCTATTTACTTTAAATTGTTCTATTTGAAAAAATAATGAAGCGAATAAAAGTACGTAGAATATGTTTAACTAAAAGGAGAGGTCTGTGAAATCTTTATATCATAGACGTGATTGGATGCTTGACTTAGACGTGTGTGCCAACTTTTACAAAACAAAAATGACTCTACCATGATAAAAGTTCTCCCATTGCTCATGATATGCATGGTGCTTTTGGTTTTTCCTAAAGCCTATAAGAGAGTGGGCATCTCATTACACGTCTGTAACATGTGGAACATATTCATATTCACATATGAGAAATTACTTCCAATCAAACTTGTCCATTACTAATGTATAGTTTTTGCCAATTATTTTCTTGCACAACATTAAGCACCTTCGTGATAGTCTTGCCAAGTTATGTTATAACTCTGCAATTGGAACCCATCCTAAAAACTCGGAATAGTTTTTGCCAATTACGTTTGGTTTAAAAAAAATTGTGTTTATAATCATGCAGTCACGCATTCAAATTCATATTCTAATTTCGGATTTTTCGAAAATAACTCAATTTCTGAATTATTCTGCAAATTGAACCCATAAAAAATTCTGTAAAAAGTTCTCGAAAGAGAGGAATGGTCCACTAACCTAAAAATATTTCCTCGTTGCATACTGAAATACGTTGCCTGTCGCCCTACATGGAAAAAGCGTCTAGTCGTTCTGATGAGACAATAAACCGAGGCTCCGTGTGCTACGTTAAAGATTCCTGGACAGTTGGAAATCAAAAAAGATCAGGCTCATGCCACTGTCCTGGCAGAATTTCCCACATTGCATCCTGCATGGCGTTGCTCGTCTTCATTAGCCCATGTGTGCAGAAAAGTTACGGAATTTAAATGAAGTTTTACGGCCTACTTTTATGTTTCACGCTGTGCTAATGACAGATAACGCCATTCAGTGTGTAAATTTTGCCAGGACTGTGGCATTAGCCCACTTTTTTTCGATTCTTACTCTCGAGCTACACCCCGTTTTACGTCTTAGTTTTTTGCCGCATTCGAAAGACAAGACGCAATTTCTCAGATCAGAAAATTATATCATCAATGACTGCAGTATATTTAAAAAGTCACCTTAAAATGTTCATAACAATATCCAATCGGAAGGTTAATAACGGCTTACTAATTAATTATTTTTACCAGGTAGGGTGTTAAATTAATTACAAGCTATTCTGACTGAAAGGGTTAATTGAGTGGTTCAGATAATCTTGTTAGTAATAACCATAAATTCATCTGAAGTTTATAAAGTCGTTGAAAGATGTGTCATATTATTAACGGGAAATACTAAAACTAAAAAAAAATTACGAGTGGTGTCCCAAGAATATATGTCCACATGACAGCTTTTTTTCACCTTTTAGGTCATTGGGAATTACACAACGGACATCTGATAGAAACTGTCATAAGAATATACGCCCACATTTTGAAGTGAACTGCACTGTTCTATCGAAAAAGCAAAATAAAACACTAGTCAATGAAAATCGTGTATCAATGACAAAATATGAAGAAGAAAATATGTTCGAATTTGGTTTTTAAGCACCAAAGAGACATTTGAATAAGCTTGTGCCTAATTACAGCCATGTTGGAAACTTTTCCAATAAAGTTTCCTATTCGTGCGAAGATATATCTCATTTTGGTGTTGTTTCTTGCATTAATGGTAACAATAAAGCTAACAATAAAGTTTTTCCAGGTATTTTTCACGAAGTTAAATGATCTGATAAAGGTTTGATCAACGGACTCAACGAAATTTGACATTAGGATGTAAAACTCCATTTCATTTGAACTTGTATCTTATATTTATGACTGTGATCTATTTCTTTCGTTTCAGCTTTAGATTTTGGTTACGGTAAATTAATAGATGACGAAATTCAAGATGGCGACAGTTCAGAATTAGTATCTGCTGATAAAAGGTAAAGAAAACGTCTTCCTAATATCTAAAAAAAATCCACCCTTTTAGCATATTGGCAAGATATAAAAGTCAACAAAAGTTCTTGACGACAGGTGGCTAAGCTAAAAAAAATCCTGTTTCTGAGACAAAGATTCGATCGGTCAAACGGATGGCGAACCTACTTCGTCTGATTAATATTTCATCGGGGATTTCCATGTGTATTAAACTAATAATACATTGCGATGTTAAGATTGTATCGAATGAAAGGGAAAAATTGGGTTTCGGTGACATTTCTTTATGACCAAAGCCCTAGATTAATGGAACCGTATTAATAATATTTAATAAAAAACGTCTAAGACGTCGTGACATTTTGAGGGTATAACACAAATAGAGAGGGATTTAATTAAGCGGAGGGAAATTGGATTATATGGCAATATCATAACGAATATCTTATCTCGGTTCTCAGATCTTCTTCCGTCTTCAAAATGTCAAGCTTTATAGAACTTCGTCTAATACCTTGACATCATAAGCTACTTATATGTATGAGAGATGTTTGTAAATAGATATGAATTGTAAGTTTCTGAAAACAGCCAATCAGAGTCCTAAATTACATACACGGACAAATCGTTTACAGTCTTTCTGTCGAGGGTTCTGATTGGCTGTATGCTTTATGAAGGGTACAGGGATGGGGGCGTTTATCATTGGTGGATCAGTACCCCAGGGCTTTGAAAACCTACATAACTAGTCGTCCATTGAATACCTTAAACTTGTATCAGTTATTGCCCTTGATAACTGCTAACATGAAATTCCTCCTTAATTTTAGATACGCACGTTTATCGTATTTTCGCCAACCAAAATCCAGATATAGATGGGGCTACAGAAGATCTCGATACTCAAGTTCAAGGTAATTCATGAGGTCACTACTACTGAATGTGAAACCCATTCCACAGTAAACATGTCAGAACATGGCATGATGAAAGAAGACCATTGTTTAAACATACTGCATGTCGATGTAGGTTTGCAAAGTAACACTCCAATTCACATAACTTGCTAAGTCACACATGCGTGGGAACAGAATTGATACTTTTTTGTCAATTCAACGCAGGTGGACTTTGACTTTGCACTAACAAGCGAACCGGACCGCAAAACAAAACCAGAAATCCACAATAAAAGTTTGCAAATTCATTGGTAGCAGCATACGATCCTACGAGAAAGTATATCAATCATAAATGAAGAAGTATATCATAATGAAAAGCCTGGAACCACACTCGCCGTTGCTGCCCAATATTACATACAAAATAGGTAAAAGCAAAAAATTTAGTTTTATGTAAAATCTAAGTGTATGTAATACTATTTCATTTTGTTTTGCAGGAACCATTGGGATTATCTACCTGACAGAAATTGTTTCAGGAACCGTTGCCGCTCAAAATATGACTGCTGTAAACGATACAGTACTTGCGACCCCAGTGCGAAAATCTGTTACGACTGCTGGTACGGACATCCGTGTTCAAGAAATTCAGACTGTTGTATGCGATTTCCGCGTTGCAGTGCCGGTATGTGTACGGAGTGGTAATAAGTGTTTTGAACTGATTGGAGATGATTGCTTAATTGCCTTATCAAAACTTATTTTTTTGTGATTGTGTAGTGTTTCATTTATCAATTCATCATTAGCTTCATCACATTGCGTCAATCTTATCATTATAACTATTTCGTTTCTTTTTTCTGATATATCGACATTTCGTCTACATTGTGATCTGACCGGTTTCTACTGATATCCCATTCAAACAATCAAAGCCAGTCATATTACAAGCACTAAGTTTGCAAACCTAAAGAGATTAGCACATTGCTCTACTTTGAGTTTCGCTATCCCAAAATTCGCCATATTGATGACAGGAGTTGATTGATTAAAAGTAACGTCAATAGAACGTGACTGTTGTAGAAAACTTGTTAGATTACAATGCAAACGAAATATTAGAGAAAAAAGGTACGAAATTGTAATCTATTTTACTAAGGTTGATATTACGTAGGCTACTGCTTTTTTTAGACATTTGTCGACGTTAGAGTTTCACAAGTAAAATGTGTGTATCAATGGGCATGGCAATCGCTCTTGCCGTTAATAATTTGCTAATTTGCAATTAACAACTACTGATATTTTCGGAGGTTTTTTTGCTGATGTAATATTTTGTTTTCCGCATTATTTCAATTTTCTAGCACAATAGACACTGGTGCATGGATTTAGAATTTTATTGTTAATTGTTGGATATGTGAGCTGTACGATAATTGCTACTAAACATAGATGTTTTCGAATCTCGCCTTAGAGTCAAATGAACATGTTTTACATAAATTATCGTCACATTCTTAAACAGACATCAGCGACATCTGATGAATAAAATGTATTTCCGATCTTGGGCCTCGCATTTGATTAACAAATTATTATCAGTATATATACATGTTTAATCTAAAGGGGTTGTAAAGAGGTTTTTGTGTGTATCTGAACTGTTTATCTTCATTCGAAGACACCATTCTCACCATTCCAGGTTTCCATCAGATGTCAGTGGTTTATGTAATAATAGAAATGTATATGACGCCATCAAGGCAAAAACTCTCAATGATAACAAAATGCCTTTGCATTACCTACGGCATGAAACGATTTGTTTTAGTGGAATTGCAAAATCCACAGAGGTCTGATTGAAAATTTGAATGGTGCAAATCAAAGATACCTGTGTTCTTTATACTCATAAAAGCATGGGGAAATCCTTTTACACCCCCCTTAAGCTGCAAACGTAGCCATGTGACTCAACCGATTTTGTTGTTGAATAGTTATTGTAGATCTTTGTTCATTGTTCATCATAATAAATTCATTTCAATCTTATTGTTTCGTTTAATCTTAAGTTAATTCAAACAAGAATTGGGACGGTTATAAATTACAAGGTAGACTGTTATTAATCGACTGAGATATCCCTCTTAGGCTCGGTATTTTGATGCTCTTTAATTTGAGACCTTATTGACCAAATTCTGACACATTTAAAAGAGCTCATTATTATTCATTATTATCACTACCTAATTTTAACCTATAATTATTCAATATTATTTTTACCTAATTCTGGCCCATTATTATTAATTTATATTACCACTTAATTCTGACCCATAATCATTCATGATTATTACTACCTCATTCTAACCCATAATTATTCATTACTATTACCACTTAATTCTGACCCATAATTATTCATTATTATTACCACTTAATTCTGACCCATAATTATTCATGATTAGTACTACCTCTTTCTAACCCATAATTATTCATTATTATTATTAACTGATTCTTACCCATTATTATTCATTATTATCTTACCTAATTCTTACCCATTATTATTCATTATCGTTACTACCTTATTCTGACACAAAATTATTCATTATTATCTTTACCTAATTCTTACCCATTATTATTCATTATCGTTACTACCTTATTCTGACACAAAATTATTCATTATTATCTTTACCTAATTCTTACCCATTATTATTCATTATCGTTACTACCTTATTCTGACACAAAATTATTCATTATTATTTTTACCTAATTCTGACCCATTATTATCCATTATTATTTTTACCTTATTCTGACCCATTATTATTCATTATTATTTTTACCTAATTCTGACCCATGTAAAAGTGCTCATTATTATTCATTATTAGTATTACTACCTGATTTTGGCCCATAATTATTCATTATTATTATTATTCCCTGATTCTGACCCATGTTAAAGAACTCATTATTATTCATTATTAGTATTACTACCTATTTCTGACACATTATTATTCATTATTATTTTTATCTAATTCGGACCCATGTAAAAGAGTTCATTACTTATAATTTATTTAGTATTATTTATATATTCATTATTATTTGACAATTTCAATGACTTAGTAACATAGATTTGTTTTCAACACGAAAAATCGATTTTACTTCAGTTTTTAGTTAAACTGTTTCATAACCACCTGCCACGAAGCAGATTCTGAAAATGTTTTAGAAGCAAGGAAGGGGGTCGATACGTAAATAAAGAGCTGCCACTACTTTGAATAACAGATTAGGGAAAATATTGTAACAGGCTTACTTTTGTCAGCGTGACATTATGAATAGTAATAAGTGTTCTCTTATGTGACATATGTAGTCGTATTCGTATAAACTACTACGTTCAGTCGTAGTTTTGCTCTGATAGTTATAACAGCGGTATAGTAAATAGTATGGGTAAGTATATTTCTCAAACTTTTCTATGGGGTCTTAGTTTTCGTTTTATAAATCAAAATACCTTAGTTTTCGTTTTATAAATTAAACTACTTTTCTCGCCCTCTATTTTTCCAAGGTCGTTGTTTAGTTTTCTTAGCCTTTATTTTTCGTTTTCTACTTTTTCAAAAATTTTCGCGTTAAAAATCAAAATACCTAGTCATTTTGCTTCCGAGTTTTCGTTTACTAATCTAGCTTTTCTAGTTTTCTAGATTATCTAGTTTTCTAAGGCCATATTTTTCGTTTTATAAATTAAAATACTTTTCTCGTCGTTTAGTTTTCTTAAGTCTTAATTTTCGTTGTCTAGTAAAAAAGACATTGACACAAACCTTGCCCTCTTCCTTTTCTAATTTTCTAAGGCATTAGTGTTCGTTTTAAAAATCAAAATATCATGACAAATTGTCTTTGAGTTTTCATTCACCAGTTTTCTAGTTTTTATAAGATTTAAATATTTTTTCGCTCCACATTTTTAGTTTTCTAAGGCCCTAGTTTTCGTTTTATAAATTAAAATACATTTTTCGTCTTAGTTTTCGTTTTCTAGTTTTCTTAGGTCTCAGTTTTCGTTTACAAGTTTTCTTAAAATCTTTTTTTTTTTAGTTTTTCTAGTTTCGGTTTATAAAAAAAAATACCTTGTCAACCCTTAGTTTTCGTTTTCTAGTTTTTACAGACCCATTTATTCGTTTTCTAGTTTTTTCTTGTTGTCTAAGGTCTTAGTTTTCGCTTCCTTGTTTTTAAGGCCTCGTTCTCTTATTCGGCGCATGCGGAATTTCATCAAAAAAAATTTTTAAATTTAAAAATGTAAATATGACACCCGCTAATTATATCGTTTATTTGATATTTACGGTTTAATGATACTCTTTGAAGTCTACCGATAGTGTTGTGATAAAAACGTCACTGATTTCGAGTTTTACCTCATTAAAAAGATCTGCTGTTTACGGCGATACTTACTACACATAAAATGAAGTACATGTTCGGTCTAATTAACATGCTTAAAATTCATCGCAAAATGGTTTGAAGTCGTTTCTGGTTGTTTTTCTGCTCGGTTCCAGGTCGTTTCATGTTTTCGTTGGTCTTGTCCTGTAAGTAGTAAGTACGGTTTACGGCCCTGGTTTTCATAAATGTTGACGACTTTTGATGATACTTGGGGAAAACGTGATTTGATCAAGAAGATTATTAGAAAACCCGAGAAACGGTTCTGCGTTCTTTTAGCAGATCCAAATAAAAAACCTTTTATTAACTGTTCTAAAATAGCGGACAACGCATGAGTTTACACCTGATGGTGCATGTCCAAAAATTATAATATTTGAATATGAAGCATATTTTTCATAGAAATTTAAATTGTTATAAATTCAAATTCATACATTATCTCACCACTTAAATTTAAAACTTTTTTTCATGAATATTTTTAATAAAATAATTGAATAGAACCTGAAAAATGTCACTCAGAGTTTCACGCTGTTGTTGTTTTATCTGAATATCGCAGAGCGTGAAACTCTGAGTAACAACATGTGTTAGTTTCTGTTTTACTATCTACAACAGGTGTATTGGGCACTATTTTAACAGTGGTATTTCTATATCGCTCTACAATTGATGTATTACGCACTATTGTAACAGTGGTATTTCTATTTCGCTCTACAATTGATGTATTACGCACTATTGTAACAGTGGTATTTCTATTTCGCTCTACAATTGATGTATTAGGCACAATTTTAACAGTGGTATTTGTATTCCGCTCTTAATTGATGTATTGAGCACTATTTTAACAGCGGTATTTCTATATCTCTCTACAATTTATGCATTGAGCACTATTTTAACAGTGGTCTATATCGCTCTACAATTGATGTATTGAGCATTATTTTAACAGTGGTCTATATCGCTCTACAATTGTTGTATTGAGCAGTATTTTAACAGTGGTCCATATCGCTCTACAATTGATGTATTGAGCTCTATTTTAATAGTGAAATTATTTTGCTATTGTATATCATGTTATGGTATTCCATTGTGTTATGTGTATGTATAGGCTCATTCATTAATTCATTCATTCAATTCGTTTCAGCTACAATGAATACCCTAGTGTGTTTAGTGGTTCTCTCCTCGATTATGTTTATCAGCTTTGATGCAGTGGAACACAACAGACAGATTGGTGACTTAAGAATAAGATTCAGTAAGTAGTATTGAAATATCAGCTATAACACCAGTCTATCAAAATTAGACCAAACTTTAGTTCTATTTCTTATTAAGTTTTATCTTTAATCCAGCCACTTTAGTTAGGGTCTAAGGACGGACCTCTTTGAACATTCGTGAAGTTGCTAACGCTGCTAGCCAATCAAATTTTTGTCCTTTCCAACACTGGGATTTTGTGACGCGAATAAAATGTTATTCCGAGAAGACACTGAATGCACTTTTTGCTCGCGTCACAAAATCCCAGCGTTGGAGAAGGCAGAAATTTGATTGGCTGGCCCTATCATCAAACTGACGAATGGGCAAGAGGACTGTCTATAGAATTTAACAGAAGTGACTTAATTAAATATAAAAGTTCATAAAAAAGGAACGAAAGTTTGGTCTAATTCTGATTAATGTGCTATGACATTGATTTTTGAAACATGTGTTTTATGTGACATCTTGTGAATTTACTGCGGCGCTATTTATTTTCGAATGTCGGCTTCTTGCATGTTGGTAAGATCTTTATGAGCTAATCTTCTGAAAATGAACTAAAATGTCCTACTTCTCAGTTTTATGCCAATAAATATTGCTGGGCTTAAACTGAAATGGAGTTTTACGCCCTACTTCTCAGTTTTATACCAATAAATATTGTCGGGGCTTGAACTGAAATGGAGTTTTACGTACCACCTGGTAGATTTTACTTTAATATTGTTTAGGCTTGCAACAGCAACGAAGTTTTATGCAGCGTAACTTTCTTTGAATTCGGTTACTGAAGAATGGCAACGTCACACAGTGCTCAGTGGGTTAAAGTAACCAATTTGCGCAACCCAATGCGATCATTTAGCGCTTAGTTCTAGCCTCTATCATCCAGTCTAACTTTGTCTACGCACTGCTGGGAAGACAGAAGAAGTCTGGGTGTCAGGGAATAGATTAGATTTTTATCAGTCCTAATATTCGAATAATATATTTTATTTTATCTATTTAACAGTATCGGGCACATTTCAAGTATACTGCAGGGAAACAGGCACAAACGTTGAGTGGGCTCTCAATGAGAGTAACACAATAAACTGTTTTAATTGTAAATGCAGTGCTGCTAATAGTGGTATCAAATGCACAGGGTTAGATTTTACTTTTATTCAGCGGCGGCGCCTGTTGGTGTGGGTTAGCCCCTCTAGAAACAATTTTGTATCCCCAGTTGTATCCCCGTTTCATTTTTAACACTTCATTTGCATAGTACGTCCAGAATTGAATAAACGGGATCCGGGTTCGGACACGAAAATCGGATGTTGCTGTCTTTGCGGTGTACGTTCTTATTAGAATATGGCCTAAGTATTGTATGCTCAAAGTAAAATTTCAATCTTACGACAGTCATGCGTTTGGACACGAATAAGAGATGTCGTGTATTTGCAATGCGCGTTAGAAAATTGCAAAACTGTATAAACAGGATCCAGGTCGGGACACGATTAACGGATGTCGTGTATTTGCAATGAACGTTCTAGCAGAAATGGCAGAACTGGATACATGATAATACTAACACGAATAACTGATGTCGTGTTGACGTATGACGTTCTTTTAGAAAATAGCAGACTGAATATCCGTGATCTGGATAAGCAAACAAAGCCCCCAGGCGGGACTGAGAGATCAATATCAACATATTAATATATTTTCAGAATAGGGTATCAAGATGGGGCTGTCCCTCCAACAGGATGTATGAAAAGAGCTCTACAAGATTTTGAAATGCAAGGTAATGAGACTTGCTGCTACCAATTTGTTAATGAAGATAACCAAGGTGTGACTTGTGGAGAAAAAGTTTGTCCATAATCGACAACAACGATGAAAAAAAAACAGCTTATTTTCGATTTTGTGAATTTTTTTTCTTCAATTTTTTTGGGATTTGTCCCGTTGTATTTTATTAGAAAGATCTAGCATATAAAATAAAAACTTATTATTAGAAATTTCGGATTTTTTACCTAAATTTTATGTGGATTGGAATTATCTCTACTACCATACATTGATATCAATTCAATTTTATTACCGACAGGCGCACCTGATTTCAGATGAATTTCATTTTAATAAGTGGTACCGGAAGGAACATTTCTTAAAAAAATGTAACCAAAGCCAAAATGCCCACGTCCAGTCCATGTCATCATAAAAAATCTACCTGTGTACGATTTTATCATCATCATTTACCACGATTCCTAATATCTAACAAAAATATAGTGGAAATGGGGAAAATTAGCGAGGGTACAGGGGAAATATTACCAATTTAAAGGAGATCGTTCATCCTACTTATCATACCTTAGTCTCAGAAACAGTTTTTATAAGTAGATGCAAAATAGTTGACGGATGGATGGATAGACATGAAATTTGTAAAATTTAGAAATAAATTTATCACGTCTCCACTAAACTGAATAGAATAATTTCACCTACCGTTTTGAAAATATTTTTCTATGCGCTCTATATAATCGGCGGTTGTCTGAAAAAGGTGCCCATTTTCATCTGTGTTTACCTTTTTTTTTATCTCGTTCATTCAACACCAACAAGGGTTTTATCACCTTCATCCTTGTAAGAAAAGCAATGGATAATTGAAAGTTTCGATGCGTATTGTTGTAACTAGAGCACTCTGCAACTGAGTTTGTCAACCCGGCATTCTGAAGTGATTTCATTGGATTGTACGCTAGCAAATACAGAGGCCTCGACAGAAAGTATGTGAATGCCTTACAGTCTTTCTTTCTAAGGCTCTGATTGGTTATATTTGCTGGCGTACAATCCAATTAAATCGTTACATTCCGTGATACACGATCGGTGGCTATTGTAGTCAAGGTATAAGTACGTAGTTCTTAATAGCTTGACATTGTAAAGATAGGGAATACCACATCATATTGTTTATTTGGTATATCTACGATTAACGCCATGTTTTGTTTTGTGAAACGGTTTCGCAACTGTGAACCACCTCGAAATTCCTTACCCATCTCTGCAATGGGTGGAGTCCTAGATCAAAGTATATAGTATTTATTGATATTGCTGCAAACATACTAGAGTTCATTTAGATTATCTTTCGTCGGGGTTATGTGTTATTTTTATTTCAATATGTACCTGACGGGAAGACACGTGCTCTGAAAACTGGGGGCTTCAGTTCAAATAACTTTACATCGGCATTTGATTGGTTAAAAAGAACATTGCATTCATAACAACCCTAAGCACGCATTGTCTCGTTCTGATAATATTGACGGATATGTACGGAGACGGCCGAAGTTGACTCGGATGTTATTATCTGGATGATCTCGATAGCACTAAAGGCAGATAAACTGGAATAGTCGAGCATAGTTAGACCACAAATAATTCTGCAGTGCTGGATTGTATTTCTATTATTGATCGTGCTATCTTTTTTAGATATTCTTGCCATTTGGAAATTTTCACGGCAATCGTTTGACTGATTGCAAAGCTTAATTTCTCCTACTTTAAATCCCAAAATTGCCAAATGAACAGAGAAGCTACCCCAAACTTCCAGGAATTGTTTACAATATATATACATAAATATAATCGTGTTAAAATAGAGTTTTACGTCCTATTTTTCAGCTCCTGTTTGGGCTTATGGAGACGGCAAACGCCATGAAGTGTACAGGGAGGGAGGGGGTTGTTTGCGGCATCTATAGCATTTATATTCTCAACCTTAGAATGTTCTTCAACTTGCATAGTTCAATCCCAAAACTCTGTCCCTTTTTCTAGGTCAGCCCTCAAGAGAGCTGAACCCTTATGTAGATCATATTCCACCAGAGGAAATCAACCAAAATAAAAACAAAAACCAACATAAATCTAAATAAGTTTTTTATTTAAATGCGTTCTAAAAAGAAGAAGCTTTTCATTTTTTGTTGTCGATTAACCACAAACTTTTTCTCCACAAGTTTCACCTAGGTTATCTTTATTAACAAATTGGTAACAGCAAGTCTCTCCCTCTGACATTTCAAAAGCTTGTAGATGTCTTTTCATACATCCTGCGGGAGGGACGATCCCATCTTGATACCCTATTCTGTAAATAGATGATAAACATTAATGTGGGGGTTTTCAAACTGAGGGTAGTAACTCTCAAGGGGAAAATTTTGATATTTTTTGGGGGGCGTAATGAGGCCCTTTGTAGTCTTTATTAGCATAACATTTTTGGACAATTATAATTGAAGTCGTTCTATTCAGTCAGGCTATTTTCTATATTTTGCCAAATCCATAAAACTAAGTAATTATCAATTAAACTAAGTAATTATCCATTAAACTATGTAATCTGTACAAGTAATTATCGAAAAATGAGTAAGAATGTAGGCTTTTTTTAGGCGCTTTGTAGTCTACACTAGCATAGATGAATAAGACCAGGGAACCCAGCTTTAAGGATTCACGTCGGACTAGTCATAATAAATGTACATACCCTGTACATCGAATTCCTGCATTAGCACTGCTACATTTGCAATGGAAACAATCCAGTGTTTTATTCGAATTGATTTTCCACTCTTCGTTCGTATCGAGCTCTAAACAGTATTCTTCCGGAAAGCCATTGTCTATTAAATTATAAAATTAATCGAAGACGTAAGAAGAAATAGTAAATGGGAATTCAGACCGATCTTGTGAATTGTAGTATAAGAGAGAGTTTGGATTCCTAACAATAGCTAGCTGTCGGCACAGAAAAGTTGAACGTAAAACTCAATTCATTTCAAAACTATTCCGTCACAATATTCTGCATAATTAAAATCATACTAACCGAATTTCAGTCGCAAGTCGCCAATTTGTCTGTTGTGTTGAAATGCTTGAATGTTGACAGCCAACACGGCGCATATAACTGTTAAACAAACCAGTGAATTCATCGTAACTGAAAATAAATTCAATGATGCGTCAAAATGAAATGAATCAAAGGTGTTGGCCATGAGCAATTCTGCTTCGTCCAAACTGTTTCACAATGTTATCAAGATTAAAATTTTATAGCCCGCTCAATGCATGTCATTTAGTTGTGGATGATATATTGAAAACATCATTGTTGGTGAAGCAGTCGAATTTGATTGAATTCTTTACAAGATTGTGCAGATATTTTGACCAAAAATTGCTGCTTTTCATTAGTTCAATATCTTCATGATCTCGTAAAGAATTATATCACATCCGACTTCCCCACCAACAATAATGTGTCATGTCATTTGAACAATATTGTCTTAAGACAAATGCTGTTTTTCCAAAGAAAAATGTAGTCTGAAGTCAAAAAGTTTGTCTAAGAAACCAAAAAGCATTGTGTATTCAAAGCTTTAAGTAAACCACGAAAACATTAAAATGCAGTCAATTTCCATAACAGAAAAAAGTGTAAGAAACCGAAAGCCAAAGAGATTTTCATTCTTCTCTACGCCAAACCGCAATAAATGGAGTTCTTACATGACATGCTTTGATGGGTTAAAAATAACGTCATTTGAATGGGACTGGTAGTACGATCACAATATCAAAAACATCAGAAAGTTGAAAGAAATATTATCTAATTCATATTGTGCTATTATGCAGTTTATTTTCAGAGCCAAATGTAGTTTAAAGTAAAGACGTTTATTCAAGAACCAACAGCATGTGTCTTCAAAGCTGTAAAGGGAGTGTCGGAAACGTGATTTTTTTTAGCTCAGCCAATCAGTAATAGTGTTCACAGCTCACCGTCGAAATTTAAGCCTTCAAATCCATGTGTGTCCAGAATTATCCATGTTTGAATGTTAAAATGACGACTCGTCATTTTAAGATACTACTTGATATATAGAAAATACATAGTGAGTAACATTCCTAGTTTGAAGTATTTCTAAAAATTTCTAGTACTTCTGAAAATTATGTACATATATTTACACTAAAATCAACACCCAAAATGGTCATCTGTAATCCACGTTTAATATTAAACATTAATATACCGTTAGATCTAATTATAATAAGATAATATTTTCTTTTTTTTTTCTGATATTAATCGTCGCCATTGGAATCTAAAAAACATTCTACCGTTCTAATGACATTATTTTTAACCAATCAAAGCTTTTCATGTAAGACCTGTTTCGTGATAACAAGATCGAATTGCGGGAAAGCGAAACCAAAGAAGCTGTCGTGTTGCTTTACATTTCGTAGAAAACTTGATATTGAAAAATATCCGAAATTAAAAAAAAAACAAAAAAACTATGCCATTATGCTTACGTGGGTACTTTTCTTGAACGGCATTAATCAAAACGTGATCACACCTACCTGATAGTACTTACTAGAAATCAGAAAGACTAAAATTAAAGTATTATATTGTAATATTTATTCCCTACCTACAAGCTCATATGTTATATTGCTGTACAATTCGTAGAAAACGAGTTAGATAACAATATTGAAAAATATCAGAAAAATTGAAAAAAAAAATTGTGCCATTATACGGTGCCACTTAGGCGCAATTGTCCGTACTTTTATAAAATATTTCGTTTTAACGAATAAGTTATTTCGCTATTACAAAATAATTATTTCGTTGTTTTATTATTTAAATAAGTTATTCGATTAATTATGATATTATTTCGTTTAAACAAATTAATTATTTCGTTCAAACAAATTAATTATTTCGTTAAAACGAAATATTTCATAAAAGTATGGAAAATTGCGCCTTAGGGTCTGCGTACCATTATGCTTACGACGGTACTTTTCTTATATCGCTGTATTAATCAAAACTTACACACTTACCTTATGTACTGACACTTATAAGAATAGAAGCAAAATCAGAAAGACTAAACCTCAAGCAGTACAACGCAATTTATACCCTACCTCCACGCCCATATGGCACAGTCTAGAACTATTATGACTTTTCATAACGTCACTTTAACAATGGTTAACCTGTTGCATGATTTCTCTATCTTTAATTCAAAGTGGCACTTCAACCATGGGTTATATCGATTTTACCGTACCAACTTTCCAATTTACAATTCAAAGACATTTTATGACTTTTCTTTGCTTTGCGACAGGTGTTTTGTCGAGCATTTTTTTTCGTGTTGCTGAATTAAAATAAGAATCGATTTTAAGTTTCGTGGAACAAATCTTTCGTCAATTTGTGAAATTTGTAAATAAAATCTGAATAAAATGTTTTGAAGCGTTCTAATGACGTGTAAAATTCATATTACACAATGCTAGTAAATTGAGTTCGATGGCATTTAGTCTCAAACCTGACATATTTTTATTTGAAATTTATTTTTCAAAACGGTTTATTTTCAGTCGTCAAAATAATATACGTGGGAATATGACGTCATCATCATGGCCAAAGTGATTCCAATCTACGTTAATGCGTGGCATATTTCATCGTTCCTTTACAGGATTTTTCTTGCGAGTCATTGCAGGTTGCAGAAATTCGCTGATCTGTCGCCACTCCTTGTGATTTTGTCACATTACGACCCAATTGTTACGAGTTATCGCATGCTACGATCACTATTTACGCTAAATTATGCGATTTCCTACGACGTGGCGAGCTGTAAGAACTCGTAAGAGACATCTGTGTAAGAGCAGAGAATATAAGGCATACACTAACTGCCCTCCTGAAATTTCCACCGAATTCCGCAGTGTATTTTTTTTTTATCAAATCAGTCCCTAAAATTATACAAGAACGACCTCCCAGCATCGAATTAAATAGCTTATAAAGACTTGAAATACATACCAACATTGTTTCGTTGATTCCTTCAATTTTATAACATTTTGTCAGACACTATAAAAGCGACTACATAATGTCATTGCTCCGTAATTTTACGTTTAGAATTACTTACATAAAAGAGCTCTGAAAGGTGCTCACCACGCAAGCGTTATGCGAAAGACTGTAAGGTCTATTGGTACGTATGTGCCAATCCCCATTATAATGCACATTTAACATTACCACGACAAATAAACATACCAAAATAAACCAGTTTTCAATTTTGTGGACCGTTATTATATAGAAGTTATGCTTTGACAAATAATTGAAAGGAAAACTGAACCGACAACCAATCCATCAACCAAGCAATAAATTTGGATTCAACTGACATAAAGTGAAAAACAATAACAAGTTAATACAGGTAGGACGGTAACTTATAGTCCATAACTGTTAAGTAAAGGAAAACAACTGTTAGTCCATATTATGGAATTCACACGAAAGTAACTTATAGTCCATATTAAGGAAAGAAAGTTATAGTCATATTTAAGAACGTTAATTAAAGTAAGTTATAGTCATATCAAGGAACGTAAAGGAAAATTACTTATAGTCCATATTATGGAACGTTTAGGAAAGTAACGTTTAGTCTATATCAAAGAACGTTAAGGAAAGTAACTTATAGTTCATACTAAGGAACGTAAATGAAAGTAACTTATAGTCCATATCAAGGAAAGTAAGTTATAGTTCATATCAAGGAACGTAAAGGAAAGTAACTCATAGTCCATATCAAGGAAAGTAAGTTATAGTCAATCAAGGAACGTAAAGGAAAGTAACTCATAGTCCATATCAAGGAAAGTAAGTTATAGTTCATATCAAGGAAAGTAACACATAGTTCATTAATAGGAGGGTACAGGAAAGTAGCTTATAGTTCATATAAAAGAAAGTAGAGAATAGTAACTTATGTTCCATATAAGGAGAGTAACAAATAAATACATATAAATAAAGTACTTTATTTCTTATTGCATGTTTCATAATTTATTATTAAGTCGACCAAAACTAAAAAAATCATTAAAACATTTATACTTACGTTTTATGATATTTCTCTTATAACACACTTGTTTTGGGTCCAAACTCTAATGACTATATATGTGTAGCGTCGAGGTTAGTTATAGTTGTTATCCAAATTAATTTTTAAAAGCTTATCAATTAGATAATGAGGGTTTAAGTGGATTAGGTAAATATTTGATGTGATGTTAATGCATGTTTAGTTTGGTGTAGGTTTTACATAACGAGATGACACTGTACAGATAATGTCAAACGTTAGTTAAAGGAAAGCTGTTCGAAATCACACAAGCTACACGAAATTAGATTACAATACAAAATATCAAAAACTTAACTTATGGAGGCGAAAAGCCTACCCTCTTTGTGGTACTGTGTTGGGTTACAGGGGCATTGTATAGATACCAATATTAAATACAAAATGTGGCTTTTTCACATGGTGAAAGTTCTAAAAAATTAGCGACCCAAAAATGGTCGGAGCAACCTCCATATAAAGTGACACTGGCCCTAAACGAGCTAACATACTATCTGTGTATCACGTCCAAGGATCGTGTAGGGCCCATAATTGCAAGAAATATGACAAAAGTAATTATCTCATCGTTCGAATAGCAATCTAATCTTGGTATTGGTAACTTTGGTCGTAATGTGAATAATTTCTTTTTAGCTGTTATTGTGGTTAAGTCTAAACATTGACAAATGCAGAAATAACAAGTTGTTTTTACAATGTTCCGGGTCCTCAAAAATAAAGGTGTTCTCTTGATAAATAAATATTTACATCATTGTAATGGAGAGTTAAAAATATTGCTTATGGTGATTTGTTTTTTTAAAACAAATTTAACAAGTATAGAAAAACAACAGGACCTACTGATATCATAAAAAATAACAAAAGGATTTTTAAAATATTATATCAATACACCTCAAAGCAATTATCCATTTAAGAAGGGTTTTAAGGGATAATCCGTTTTATATTAAAATACTTTCTGATAACATGTCAGTTAAAATATACTAAAAGCCGAATAATATATACCTGTTACAAAGTAAACTAAACGATTTTATTTGTAAACGGTTTAAAAACTATCGACCTCTCACTGTTATTGTTTACTTTGGTAACTTTTCAAAGAATTGAGAACTTTTGAAGGTCGGCTTTTTCGATTTTGTGATTGTCAGAATCAAGAGCAACTGGATTTTTAATGACTGATAGCAACTGGTGGTATCTGGGAGAACTGCTGGATTAAGTGGCTGCTTTCACTGTTTTTCAAGTTGGATTTGGACGTCGACCTAAGCGGTGAGAATCAGACCACACAATTGATTGCAAGCGGTTAATTTGCAGATAAGATCGTATTTTTATGGATCTGATGCGGTTGTCGACCCCTCTACCTACCTACATCAACTTTTTTCCATGAATGAAATCGTGGTATCAATAAAATCATGACATGAATTAGATCATTGTATGAATGAAATTATGACATCAATATATTCATGCTATCAATGAAATCGTGGCATCAAAAAAAAAAAATAAATAAATGACATCAATGAAATAGTGACATCAATAAAATCATGACATCAATGAAATAGTGACATCAATAAAATCATGACATCAATGAAATAGTGACATCAATGAAATCATGACATCAATAAAATCATGACATCAATGAAATCATGACATAAATGAAATCATGGCATCAATGAAATCATGACATCAATTAAATCATAGCATCAAAGAAATCATGACATCAATGAAATAGTGACATCAATGAAATCATGACATCAATAAAATCATGACATGAATGAAATCATGGCATCAATATAATCGTGACATCAATGAAATCATGACATAAATGAAATCATGGCAACAATGAAATCATGATATCAATTAAATCATTGCATCAATGAAATCGTGACGTCAATTAAATCGTGACATGAATGAAAACAGACATCCAGAAATTAAAGTAGTGTTTTATTGTAACCAAAATGTTACGAATTATATACTAGTGGAAGAGACATCTTAATCTTACGGAGATGATATTTTCTTCTTCCGGACGTGAAACTCT